GACAGATAGATAGATAGATACAGATATTGATAATATTAGTGGTAAATATACACATACATATGCAATCATATATCTAAAATATATAAATATATATACATACATACATATACATACATACATATATATTTGTATAAAAAAATAATTCAAAGAGGATAGAATCCAGGTAGAACTCAATGTCCAGGACAGAGTAAGGATATAATAAAAAGGCTTAAACACTAATATTCCATGGTCATAATTTATTCCATTGGAATCGTAAATACGATCCAATTCATCAGACGTACAAATTCAAAAAGAAACAAACAGAAAAAACAACCCCGGGAATAAAAAATAAAATTACTTGAGAGTGTATGTATTAGAGTGTGGGATGAATGTTAGAGTAAATGAAAGCTATACAGAGAGGTAATTATATATATATATATATATATATATATATATATATATATATATATATATATGTGTGTGTGTGTGTGTGTGTGTGTGTGTGTGTGTAAACATTTATCTTAGTAACAATGTTAGTGTAAAATCTTTTATTTTTTTTTTTCTTTCTGCTGCTTTCGTAGTTGTTACATTTGTTTCTTTCTATGTCAATATTCGTCTTTTCTTCTTCTTCCAATTTTTCTGGATTCGTTCAACTGCCTTTCTTCCATTTATTCATTTTCATTCATATTTTTTTTCTTTCTTGTTAATTTTTTTTTTAGTTAGTTTACAATTCATTTTTTTTTTCTTTTCAAGCCATCTTCACCTTCCGTAACAATTCTCCTCGACAAATTGTAAATTTTAAAAGCCTATAGAGTAATCATGAACCAATGGCAAATTGCAGGTGTCATTGCCCCTTAAGGTAAGCATCATTAACATTATTAACATTGTCAACAAAAACTTAATCCTAAAAGACGTTGCAATAAATAACATTACAACCGTATCCTTAAGAACAAAACAAAAAAAGGAACACTCAGTGGGTGATGGGAGTAAAGATGGCGACAAATGTAGCTACACCCACGGAACATCCATTAAGATTATCGAAAAAAAATATGGTAAACACTCGTGACAAGCCATCGATTAGCTGGTGACATTAGCGACTATTTAAAAATGCAGTTCTCTCAGAAAAAAATGTAAAATACATTGGCTGCGCGGATACTTTACACTTCACGCCATTTTACATAGCAGTACGCACAATATTACTATTCTTTGGTTTTTCATTGTTCAATATAATTCGTAAGACTAATTTCGAAGTAAAATATATTCTTTTTTTAGTCTTATGCAGAAATAATATAATATATATATATATATATATATATATATATATATATATATATATATATATATATATATACACGTTTTATTAAATAATATAGATAAATGTTGTCTATTTATTTTATGTAAATTTTTTGGTAACATCTGATAAGTTTAATAACATTATCGTTAAACGAAGAAAGAAATTCACAATATTGATCCATAATTTTTTTTATTATAATCTAAGCTTTCGGCTTACTTAAGCCATTATCAAAGATGTAAATTACAAACATATTAAACAATATACGGACACGACAGTGATGATAGTCTGTCATTGTTTACATAGTTGATCACTAAGCAACGATAAACACGCGCATATAAGACGCTAGAAGCGAAAATCGCACCGCATCTCATGACGTCACATATGACCATATATATATATATATAATTTTATTCTTACTTTGTGGTTTTCGATGAGTATTTATTTACAAATTATTTACAAAATTCTATTTGGATTTTGTCGGGAGAAACTCCATCGGTAAGAATAGATCAAAAAGATCCGAGTTTGAATTCCAGTCAAGTCTATTACAACCACATACACGCAAATACCCTTCGCAAAAGCATAGGTCCAAATCTACCACCTCCCAGCTATGGCTTGAATAGCAGGACAGACTATTTACCATAGTTGGCAACTAGTCTACCGCAAAAAATGGCAATGTAATGTGAAAAAAATATTCTACCTAGATTTTCATGAATCGATAGATACATGATAGCCCAAATGTGTATCACTTATGGCATTTAACTAAGTTACTGATATATCTTTAAAATATCCTATGTCAAAATAGAAATATTTTACATATAAAAGACAGTATTGTTTTTTATGGAGGAATTTACGACCGTGGTTGATTGTTAAGTGGAAAATCAAGAAGGATATATCTTTAAAATATCCTATGTCAAAATAGAAATATTTTACATATAAAAGACAGGATTTTTTTTTTATGGAGGAATTTACGACCGTGGTTGATTGTTAAGTGGAAAATCAAGAAGGATATATCTTTAAAATATCCTATGTCAAAATAGAAATATTTTACATATAAAAGATAGTATTGTTTTTTTTATGGAGGAATTTACGACCGTGGTTGTTTGTTAAGTGGAAAATCAAGAAGGATATATCAGAATATTTTTGCCGAAGTGGGGTGAGGTTAAGTCAAAAAGAAACA